GTGGTAGTTAATGTAAGTCAATTAATGGAAGAATAAAAAGTTTATTAAATCATTTAATTAAGTTTTATTGTAATTAATTTTTTAAAAATTATGTGAAAAGTTTAAAGTGATGATGTGGACACCTTAAGAGGAGACAAAACTCTCCCATTATATAATAGATTTGAATCATTTTATGTTTATCCTCATCTTACTCTTAATATAAATCATTTTTTTACTCACTCCTTTAAAAAAATTATACCAATTAATAATTTAGCCCACATTTTATACTATATATTACACAAAAATTTAGTTTATTTTTTTTACAAACACAAATTCAAATGACAAACCCGTGCAACGCACGGGTCCTTTACCTAGTATCTTTATATAAGGCCACGCAAGTGAGGAGGAAGATCAGAGTTGCACAGCTAGCAAAACCCTATTGTTCTCGCTCTAGCCTCAGATCCGACCAGAGCACTTGCTGGATGATTTTTCCAGCGAACCGTGAGGAGTTAGGCGACGATTTACATACCGTTGGATAGAGGATTCTTCGTAGATTCCGTGGCTGTTTTCCGATTTGGATTCCGAGGTAAGATGAACCCGCAATCTACAATTTAAGTTTGCCCTAGATGTCTGACCAGATTCTGTTCTCGGGTTTCACAGAGCTAATTTTGGAGGAAGGTCTACGCTGTTACAGAAGGAGTTAGAACACTATTTTGGTACCGTTGGAAAGGTGACGTTACAAAGATTTCAGATCAAGTTCCGGTTTTCTAATCCGATCTAAATCCGGTGAGTTATTGATGTTTCTTTCTGGTCAAGAAACGTTTATTCTGTCAAAATCCAGAAATGTATTTTTGACTTGAATCGCCTTTCCAGAACGCAGATTCACATTTTTCTAGGTTCACTCCTCCATATTTGGTCATCCAAAGGCTAAGGTGAGGGTGTTGTCTAGATTACTTTAATACTAGTTAACGCTAGATGTTCTTACATGTTAGTCTAGAGATGGAATGTGATGTTGTTGGTTATATGTGCTAAGTCTAGGA